TCAGCAGGGCAGAGACAGCCTGGACAATTCCCATTGGCTTTGGAAAGCCAATAGAATTAGACTCTATTCAAGAGAGTCGATTCTATTGGCTTTCAAAAGCCAATAGAATAAAAGGGAGTAGCACAGCTAAGGAAAAGGGGAAAAAAATGGCGGACTGCGTTGTTTGGCGACCCCCGTGAAATGGTCGTTCGACCCCAAATGGGGTCCCGACCCACAGGTGGAGAACCGCTGGTCTCCTGCTTGAGACCTCCAAGGTCCCTTCCAGCTCTATTCTCATTGATTGATTGATTGATTGATTGATTAAAATGCTCTAGGGCAGTGTTTCTCAACCTTGACCATTTTAAGGCATGTGGACTTCAACTCCCAGAATTCCACAGCCAGCATTGCTGGCTGTGGAATTCTGGGAGTTGAAGTCCACATGCCTTAAAATGGTCAAGGTTGAGAAACACTGGTCTAGGGTTTCCTGCTTGAACAGGACGTTGGACCGGAAGACCTCCAAGGTCACTTCCACCTCTATTTTGATTGATTGATTGATATAGTCTAAGATCTCCTGCTTGAGCAGGGGGCTGGACTGGAAGACCTCCAAGATCCCTTCCAGCTTGATTCTGATTGACGGAGGTTAATTCGGCTTGTTATTGCCAGTTTTTCTTCCTTCCCCATCTCTTCACTATTTCCGTAGGGAGCAGGATAATCCTCTGTAATAGAAAGGGGTTCCGGGTGGGGAATATTGGCAAAGTGACCCCGGCTGTAAGGATTTTTCTCTGAAAATATCTTGGCAATGTACACAAGGCAGGAGTCTTTGAAACCTTAATCTCTGCCGCGGTTTCCAGACCTTGTTTGAAGAGGGTCTGTTTGATCGCCTTTCACCGGCGGGCGTATTTTCAGATGTTGACTTTGTGCTCAGTGTGAGAACATACATAAAGCTGGCGTATTTTATTATTTAATACGCACTTTCTTCCTTGTACAAAAATGTGGAGCGTTAGAATGGTAGGGGTGGTTTTTTTTTTTTTTAAAAAAGAAGATTTTTGGTTCTTTTGGCAGTTTTTGGCAGATGCTGTGTGCGAGTCCAATATTCAACCTTTTGTGAATTAAATAGTTAGTACAAGGCAGGCGGCGATACAGTTATTGGAGCAGGTTTTCCTCTACACAGCCAAATATCTGAAGGCCCTAATATTATTATCTAGATCAGGGGTCCCCAACCTGTGGGCTGCGGCCCGGTAGTGGGCTGTGGGCTGCTGGCTGGCCGGCCGCTGGGCCACGAGACAGGCTGACCAGTGTGCATCTTCCTTCCTTCCTTCCTTCCTTCCTTCCTTCCTTCCTTCCTTCCTTCCTTCCTTCCTTCCTTCCTTCCTTCCTTCCTTCCTTCTTATTCTCCTTCCTTCCTTCCTATTCTCCTTCCTTCCTTCCTTCCTTCCTTCCTTCCTTCCTTCCTTCCTTCCTTCCTTCCTTCCTATTCTCCTCCTTCCTTCCTTCCTTCCTTCCTTCCTTCCTATTCTCCTTCCTTCCTTCCTTCCTTCCTATTCTCCTCCTTCCTTCCTTCCTCCCTCCCTCCCTCCCTCCCTCCCTCCTTCCTTCCTTCCTTCCTTCCCATTCCCTTCCTTCCTTCCTTCCTTCCTTCTCATTCTCCTTTTCTTCCTTCCTTTCTTCTCATCTCCTTTCTTCTCATTCTCCTTCCTTCCCTTTCTTCTCATTTTCCTTCCTTCCTTCCTTCCTTCCTTCCTTCCTCCTTCCTTCCTTCCTTTTCTTCTTCCCTCTTCTCACTCTCCTTCCTTCCTTTCTTCCTCCTTCCTTCTTTTCATTCTCCTTCCTTCCTTCTCTTCTCATCCTCCTTCCTTCCTTCCTTCCTTCCTTCCTCTCATTCTCCTTCCTTCCTTCATTCTCTTCTCATTTTCCTTCCTTCCTTCCTTCCTTCCTTCCTTCCTTCCTTCCTTCCTTCCTTCCTTCCTTCCTTCCTTCCTTCCTTTCTTCCTTCCTTCCTTCCTTCCTTTTCTCCCTCCCTCCTTCCCTCCCTCCCTCCCAGGTTGTTGTTGTCAGCAAAAGAGGAGGGAGATGTTGTACATGTTCACCACCTTGAGTTGTTTATTAAAACGAGGCGTACAAATAAAAAATAAAAACATTGCAGGAACTTTGTGTTGAGGTATTGATCGATTCATGCCCAGGCTCTGGATTGGCCAGTTTTGATTCCTGTCTCTTTTGTGTGTCTGTCAGGAGAGGCTTCTGATGATAATCGAGCAGTAACCCTTGCATAAAGTTATGTGTGAGTGAAAACCTTTGTTGATAAATATGACATATAAATCACTTTATTTTGAAGAAGAGCGGCCAGGAATAAGGATAGCTCTATGCTTAGATTACACGCTATGTGCTACCCAAGAAATATTAATAATGCATTTAATCTTTCTGGGAAATGGGATTTTTTTATAATCATAATGATATTATATCTGCGTGCTGTGCTGATAAGTTGAAATCACATTACTTGCCAGAGTTGAAGCTTTATGCATGCAATAAAGGCTGGCATTCATGCTTAGAAGTGCTCTTGCCGTTTAAAAACCCACAATTATACGTCTCGACCACAGCTCCTGGCTGCATGATGGCATTATCAGTAGGCACAAGCTGCGAGGAATGTTCGACCGTGTCTCAGAGTGTTGCTTTCATTGAAATTCGGAACAAAACTTTGGAAAAAGTGCAGAGAAGAGCAGCTAAGATGATCCAAGGCCTGGAGACTAAAACATACAAAGAAGGGTGGCAGGATTGGAGTATGGCCAGCCTAGAGAAAAGAAGAAATAGGGGGGGGGGGGGACATGATAGCATGTTTTTTCAGTATCTCAGGGGCTGCCCCAAAGAAGAGGGAGTCAAGCTATTCTCCAAAGCGCCTGAAGGCAGGACAAGAAGCAACGGATGGAAACTAACCAAGGAGAGAAGCAACTAAGGAGAAACTTCCTGACAGTGAGAACAATTAACCAGTGGAACAACCTGCCTCCAGAAGCGGTAAACGCTCCAATACTGGAAGTTTTTAAGAAGAGACTGGACAGCCATTTGTCCGAAATGGTATAGGGTTTCCTGCCTGAGCAGGGGGTTGGACTAGATGACTTCCAAGGTCCCTTCCCAACTTTATCCTTATTATTATTATTATAAAGTTGCAGGAAATACATAGGTTTTGCTTTATCTCCGGGTTTCTATCACTTGTGCTTTGCCTCTTGATCAGATGTTCTGGCAACAATTGGAGGCTAAAACATATAAGGAACATTTGCTGGAATTGGGGATGTCTAGTTTAATGAAGAGAAGGACGAGGGGGGACATGAGAGCAGTCTTCCAATATCTCAGGGGCTGTCCCAAAGAAGAGGCAGTCAAGCTCTTCTCCAAAGCCCCTGAAGGCAGGACAAGAAGCAACGGATGGGCACTAATCAAGGAGAGAAGCAACCTGGAACTAAGGAGAAACTTCCTGACTGTGAGAACAATCAACCAGTGGAACAGCTTTGCCTCCAGAAGTTGTGGATGCTCCATCCCTGAAGGTTTTCAAGAAAAGACTGGGCAGCCCCCTGTCTGAAATAACAGAATAATTGAAATCTTGGAGGTCCTCTAGTCCAGCCCGCTGCTCAAACAGGAGATGATATACCATTTCAGACAAATGGCCATCCATTCTCTTCTTAAAAATTTCCAATGTCGGAGCATTCACCGCTTTTGGAGGCAGGTAGTTCCACTGGTTAATTGTTCTAACTGTTAGGAAGTTTCTCTTTAGTTCTAGGTTGCTTCTCTCTTTGATGAGTTTCCATCCGTTGCTTCTTGTCCTGCCTTTGGGTGCTTTGGAGAAGAGCTTGACTCCCTCTTCTTTGGGGCAGCCCCTGAGATACTGGAACACTGCTATAATGCCCCCCCCGGTTAGGTAGGTAGGTAGGTAGATATAGATAGATGGAGAGAGAGAGAGAGAGAGAAAGATAGATAAAGAGATAGAGATAGATAGATAGATAGATAGATAGATAGATAGATAGATAGATAGATAGACAGACAGATAGACAGATAGGAGAGATGGGATAGATAGATAGATAGATAGATAGATAGATAGATAGATAGATAGATAGATAGATAGATAGATAGATAGATAGATAGGCAGGCAGGCAGGCAGGCAGGGAGGCAGGCAGGCAGGCAGGCAGGCAGGCAGGCAGGCAGGCAGGCAGGCAGGCAGGCAGGCAGGCAGGCAGGCAGGCAGGCAGGCAGGCAGGCAGGCAGGCAGACAGACAGACAGGACTGGATAGCCATTTGCCTGAAATGGTATAGGGCTGCCTGCTTGAGCAGGGAGTTGGACTAGATGACCTCCAGGGTCCCTTCCAGCTCTATTCTGATTTGATTAAAATGAATTCTGACAAATTTCTGGCTTGTTTCTGTGGTCCTCTTTGTTGGACCTTTTAGGCAGACCGTGTGCTTTAACCGTTCCGTACAATTCATTCGTTCATTCGCTCATTCATTCATTCATTCATTCATTTAGTTAGTTTTCTATTGTTACATTTCATTAGTGCTTGATAAACATCGTGTTATCTGGGTTACTTTTTTGTTTTGCTTAATAATAACAAATTCTACTCCTAGTCTCTACACCGTTTTTCCAGCCATTGGTAAAATAAATTCCGTGTTTGAAAATATTTTGTATCTTCTTCCTCTTTTGATCCTCGGCGTAAGTCTGCCCGTGTCATCACAGTCCAATGTCTTCTTAACTAACCTCTTCATCCGACGGTGTTTCTTCCTTCGTCCAGCGCTGAGCACAGACAACCCTCGTGCAGTGTTAAGATATACACTTCGCTTATCGAACTTTTCTGCTCCTATGCCTAATAAGAAAAGTTCAGGTTTAAAATCTATACGTTTCTCTAGCATTTTTTTTTGTATTTTAACCCTAAATTTTCTTGCAAGTCCACCGCAGATGGTAGGTAATATGTGCCCAGTGTTTTTGGGTTACATTTCCAACAGTTACTAGACGCCATTCCGTACAATTCTCTGTCTTGGCTCTTTTGCAGATTAAAGCAAAACCAAACGTCCGTCCAGGAGGAAATCACCAAAGCCTTTGACCGGGAAAGAGTTGCGTCCAGCGAGCAATTGGCTAGGGCCATTCTGCGCGAGAGATCTGCAGCCGAAGATGAACGCATGAAATCGCAGCTGTTGGTAAGTGTATGGTGGTTCCCACAACCATCTGGTTGCAAAAAAATTGAGATGCTCAGATTGTCCATACACGTAGTCCTTGGTTTAGCAATCATTCGTTGAGTGGCCGTCAGAGTTTCAACGGTCACTGAAAAAAAGTGACTTATGACCTTTTTTTTTCACACTTCAGACCGTGGAAGCATCCCCCAGGTCACGTGCAGTGTGGGATTCAGCTGGTTTGGGAGAACCAGTGGCTAAATTTACCTGAATTCAGAGAACCGGCTGGCTTCTGGAAGTCCAGTCTAGGCCTTGGAGGCCTCCCAGGCCTAGAACGGCCCACCGGAAGTACATGGATACCACTTCCAGAAGTCTGTTCTAGGCATCGGAGGCCTGGAAGAAACCTCCCAGGCCTAGAAAGGCCCACCGGAAGTACATGGATACCACTTCCAGAAGTCTGTTCTAGGCATTGGGGGCCTGGAAGAGACCTCCCAGGCCTAGAACGGCCCACTGGAAGTACATGGATACCACTTCCAGAAGTCTGTTCTAGGTATTGGAGGCCTGGAGGATGCCTCCCAGGCCTAGAATGGCCTACAGGAAGTACATGGATACCACTTCCAGAAGTCTGTTCTAGGCATCGGAGGCCTGGAAGAGACCTCCCAGGCCTAGAACGGCCCACTGGAAGTACATGGATACCACTTCCAGAAGTCTGTTCTAGGCACTGGAGGCCTGGAGGAGGCCTCCCAGGCCTAGAATAGCTCATCGGACGTGCATGGATACCACTTCCGGAAGTTCGTTCTAGGCATCGGAAGCCCTGGCCTCATCACATAATAGAACCGGTTGTTCAGGTATTTGAATCCCACCACTGGACACGCGGTCATGACTGGCATGTATTTATGACGGTTGCAATCTCCTGGGGTCACGTGATCCCCTTTTTGCGACCTTCGCTTAGCGACCGTGTTACCAGATTAACAACTGCAGTGATTCACTGGGGAAAAAAAGGGACTTTCAGTCGTTCCTCACGCTTATGACGGTCACAACGTCCCCCACGATCCTGTGATCGAAATTTGGGGCTTGCCAACCCACAGATATTTATGACGGTTATGCATGGAATCCTGTGATCACCATTTGCAACCTTCCCAGATGGCTCCCGACTAGTAAAATGAACGGGGCAAGCCAGGTTCACTTAATGACCTCATGATTCATTTAATGGTAGGGATTCACTTAACAACCCTGACAAAAAAACAGGTCGTAAAATTCAGCACAGCTCACTTAACAGCTGCCTACGTTTAGCAACCGAAATCCAGTGGTGGTCCTAACAAGTCAAGGACTCTTTGTTACCCACACCATCATCATTTAAGGATGTTGTCATGGTTCCGACAGATGAAACCTTTCAAAAGAACTTCTTGAAGCACTGTTTACCTTAAATAATCTTTATTTTGAGTAGCATAATATCGGCATAATCGAAGCCAAAAACTGGATTCCCCTCCCCTGAGCACATAGTATCAAAGCACAATTCCCTCCTCCAATTAACTGTCATAAATCACATTCCCCAATTTGCTTGAAACACAGGCTTCCTCTCCATTTCTCCAGCCCGCCAATTCCTTATCAGCTCTGGTTACAATAACCTTGTTTCTCAGGCTAGGTTTATCAGCTCTGGTTACAATAACCTTGTTTCTCACGCTAGGTCTAGTGTTGTTATGTCTAGCTGCACTCTCCTTCACATCCCCCCTCCCAGCCTCATCTAACTCTAAAAGCAAAAGGTAGAAGATGGCTACATTTCCATCTGTTGTCCATGCAAAAACATCCGACGTGAGCAGCGTTGACAGATGTCAGTGGTAATACACTAAAGACATTAATTCCAGATGTCAGTGGTAATACACTAAAGACATTAATTCCAAATTAAGTACATACGTTTCCCCCCCCCCTAATAGGACTTCTGCATTTCTCCATTTCACTAAAAGATAACCTCAATATCTTTTTTTGGGGGGGGGGATAGAACCCCAGGGATTCCCTTCCTCCAAATTTGGTTTAAAGCAGTGTTTCTCAACCTTGACAATTTTAAGGCATGTGGACTTCAACTCCCAGAACTCCACAGCCAGCAATGCTGGCTGTGGAATTCTGGGAGCTGAAGTCCATATGCCTTAAAATTGTCAAGGTTGAGAAACACTAGACTTTTTTTTTCTCATGGGTTTCCCTCCCCCACCCCTTGTTCAATACCTTCACGTTCCTGCTCCTGAAACATGCATTTAACTTTTCAGTTCTTTGAGGCCCTTCAAATGGAAGGTAGCAATTTTCCATTTGAAAGTGTGGTATTGTTGGCAAAATGTCAAGCCTTTTCAAGGCTTGACACAGTTTAGGAAGGCGCTGCCGGTTGATAGGAGGCAGGAAATGAATGGCGCCACGGAAGGCTTCCTCCGTGGGCCCAGCCAAAATGAACTCAATTTGATTTTACCCCTCAAGGAAGCGTGGGTGCGACTGTGGCCCTGGATAGCTTCAATCTTCTGGAATTTGCCAACCTATGAAAGACAGGCGGAAGAGGGCTGCGTGAAAACCAGCAATATGATATTCCCTATCCTTGAGCTGATAACTCAGAAGATAGAGCATAAAATGTGTGGGGGGAGGCATGAAAGGAAATAAGCCATGCCCTCATTCCTTAAAATAGGAAATTTAGGAGGAGTCCTTCTATTTTGACCAACGGTTGCTGGAATTGGGTATGTCTAGTTTAACGAAGAGAAGGACGAGGGGGGGACATAATAGCAGTGTTCCAATATCTCAGGGGCTGCCCCAAAGAAGAGGCAGTCAAGCTATTCTCCAAAGCACCTGAAGGCAGGAGAAGAAGCAACGGATGGAAACTCACCAAGGAGAGAAGCAACCTGGAACTAAGGAGAAACTTCCTGTTCTCCAGTGGAACCACCTGCCTCCAGAAGTGGTGAATGCTCCAACATTGTAAGTTTTTAAGAAGAGACTGGACAGCCATTTGTCCAAAATGGTGTAGGGTTTCCTGCCTGAGCAAGGGGTTGGACTAGATGATCTCCAAGGTCTTTTCCAACTTTAGTATTATTATTATAATATTCGACAGCATGGTATATCAGCCATAAAATCCTCCAGGCTTTTCAGTTCTGTAACCTCCCACGGAATGGGACTCCCACGCTGTTCTCCCGCAGTGATTTGGCCATAGTGAATCGGCTGTGGCAAGTTGGCCGTGACGTCTTGCAGCGATTCGGCCATGTCGAATTGGACGTGGCAAGTTGGCTGTGGCTTGTTGTCCTGCAGTGAGTTGGCCATGGTGAGTTGCCACAGACCCAACCCCCTGCTCAGGCAGGAAACCCTATACCATTCCAGGCAAACAGCTGTCCAGTCTCTTCTTCAAAACCTCCAGTGTTGGAGCATTCACCGCTTCTGGAGGCAGGTTGTTCCACTGGTTAATTGTTCTCACTGTCAGGAAGTTTTTCCTTAGTTCTAGGTTGCTTCTCTCCTTGATTAGTTTCCATCCGTTGCTTCTTGTCCTGCCTTCAGGCGCTTTGGAAAATAGCTTGACTCCTTCTTCTTTGGGGCAGCCCCTGAGATACTGGAACACTGCTATCCTGTCCTCCCTCTTCCTTCTCTTCATTAAACTAGACATACCCAATTCCAGCAACCGTTCCTTATATGTTTCAGCCTCCACTCCCCTGATCATCTTTGTTGCTCTTCTCTGTACTCTTTTTAGAGTCTCAACATCTTTTTTACATCGTGGTGACCAAAACTGGATGCAGCATTCCAAGTGTGGCCTTACCAAGGCCTTGTAAAGTGGTATTAACACTTCACCTGATCTTGATTCTATCCGTCTGTTAATGCAGCCTAACACTGTGTTGGCTTTTTTGGCAGCCCCCCGCCCCCCCAAAAAACCCTGTAAAAATCATGGACACTGAAAAACACACAACAGAAGTGCACAACATGTGATCATGTGACCACAGTGGGCACGGCCCTTGTAACCTCCCAACTGAATTGTAAATCCCTCTAGGGAATGTCCACGGTAACTTTGAATGGCCGCTATGGGACCAGTCGTAAGTCAAGGACTACATGCGCCGCCTCCGCCTTTAATATTTCTCATTAAAGGCATCATGTTGGAAAACTTCATTTGAACCCGCTGAGATTTATAGCGTCTGGATTAGTTTTCGTTGTGGTGACATGGCTATCAATAACTTATTGACAATCCATCAGTGGACGAATGATGAGGGCCAGGCTGGACTACGGAGCATCTGGAATTTAAAACGTAAATCTATGGACAACTGAAGTAACACAAAAGTGGCCGTATATCCATCTCCTTAATAATGGCCTGGCATTTACCCTTCGCTGCAGGATGAGCTGCTTTTAAGACGTTATGTTTAGAAAACCGGTTTATTGGGCTGCCGCTGAGGTTAAAACCTCATTTCCTGTTGGAGAGTCGAAGAGATATACAAGTAGTCCTTGATTTAACGACTACAGCTGAGCCATAACATTTCTGTTGTTAAGTGAGATGTTTGTGAAGTGAGTTTTGCCCCCGTTTTACGACCCTTTCTTGCCACCGTTAAGTGAATCACTGCAATGGTTAATTTAGTAACATGCTGAAGTGAAATTCCCAAATGTTCATGTGGAATGGAATGGAATGGAAGGGAATAGAATAGAATAGAATAGAATAGAATAGAAAATATGGAATGGAATGAAATAGAATAGAATAAGGAATGGAATAAGGAATGGAATAGGGAATAGAATAGAATGGGATGGGATGGGATGGGACGGAATAGAATAGAATAGAATAGAATAGAATAGAATAGAATAGAATAGAAAATATGGAGTAATAGTAATAGTAGTAAAGTTGGAAGGGACCTTGGAGGTCATCTAGTCCAACCCCCTGCTCAGGCAGGAAACCCTACACCATTTCGGACAAATGGCTGTCCAATCTCTTCCTAAAAACTTCCAGTGTTGGAGCATTTACTGCTTCTGGAGGCAGGCTGTTCCACTGATGAATAGAATAGAATAGAATAGAATAGAATAGAATAGAATAG